GCTAATAGCTTATAACTACGTAGTAACGAAGGCGGACGAGCTAAAGATATCTATAAGTAGGTATAGAATATCTACCTAGTCTAGGCTAAAGAGACCGCGCCTATAACCTCTAGATCTCTTATTAAAGACCTTCTAAAAGATAAGTACGTCTATTTAGATCTAGAATCTAGGCTAGGGAAATTCTAGTCGATTTAAAGCGTAGACCCTATCGTACGTAGTATCTATATAAGGCTAATTAATAAGCCGATTAGGCTATACTAACAGATACGTACGTCTATAGGTAGCTTATACTTTAGAGAAAAGATATACGTACCCTAAGACGCCGTAGTAAAGTAGAAGCTACTAAGACGCTACTATAATAATACCTTCGCTAGATATTTTAGAGTAGTACGAATATATAATCTACTCGCGCGGAAGTACTTTTAGACGTATATATCTCGCGACGTAGACGAGTACGTTAAGACTTATAAAGTCTACTAAAAGATAAAGATTAAATAGTATACTCCGTTTAGAGATCTATAGTCCCTACTATAGCCTAAAAGGCTATAGTAGGAGTTAACTATAGACTTTATAAGTAGAATACCTCCTAGTAAGGTTAGAGATAGGGCTTATAATACGCTCTTAGTAATACTCGACCGCTATATAAAGATAGCTCTATATATTATAGTTACTAAGAAACTCTTAGCTTTAGACCTAGCTAATATTCTTATAGAAAAAGTAGTTACTAGATTTAGGGCCCCTAGAGGTATTATATTAGATCGAGACTCTAGGTTTACTAAAGTCTTTTAGTCTAAACTCTACTACTATACGAAGATTAAGCGACGATTAAGTACGGCGTTCTACCCTTAGATAGATAGTTAAATAGAGAGATAGAACTAGATAGTTTAGGAATACCTAAGAGCCTTCTACTCGGAAAATTAGAGTACGTAGGCTACGCTACTCCTAGTCGCGGAGTTTATATATAATAATAGTAAGTATACTACTACCGGTATCTCCCTATTCTTTACGCTATATAGCTACTATCTAGAGATCTACTTTAAAGCTAGTAATAAGTAAGGGAATAAAGTACTAGTAGTAAAAGAGCGTATCTAATCCTTATACTTATTACGCGCTAAGCTAGTAGCTTACTAGTAGAGAGTAAGTAAATTATAAGTAAAGAGCTATAATAAGAAGTATATCCCTATAAAATTTAATAAGAGAGATTTAGTCCTCGTATCTATAAGAAATCTCTATATAAAGACCCTAAGTAAGAAGCTAATATAACGTATAATAGGCCTCTTCTAAATCCTAGAGCTAATTAGGTTCTAGGCCTATAAGATATAGCTACCTAATAGGTATAGAATATATCTAGTCTTTAGTATCTTCCTTCTAGAAAGATACTACCTACGAGAAGGTAGTAAGTAAGAGATTCTACTTCCCCTAGAAATTATTAAGGGGGAAGAAGAGTAGGAAATTAAGGAGATTCTAGACGCGCGACGTAAAGGTAAAGTATAGTAATATCTAGTAAAATAGGTAGGTTACCTATAGAAATTTAACTAATAGATTCTATAGAAAAATATAGGTAACTCCTAAGAGATAGTTTAAGCTTATAAGTATAGTACTAAGGGCTATCTAATCTTAGCGCGAGGAGTATATAAGCCTAAAGTAGAAAGTCTTAGAGGCGTAACGGGCGAGAATACGGTAATAACGATCTTAGGCTAGGTAACTTTAAGAAGATTATAGAGAGGAAAAATAAATAAGAAGAATTCTTTTTATTAATCTACCGAAGTAGTACGTATAGTAAGTAGCTAGGAGGGGGCGGCGAGACGTAGTAAGGGAGTACTAGCTAATAAAGTCTAGAATTTTAAAAAATCCCTAAAGTACCTAAGACGCTATACGCTAGGCTTAAATATTAGGCTCGTAAGTAAGCTATATACTATACTAAACCCTACTCCTCTATTTCCTCCTCCTCCTCTACCTCCTTAGTAGAAGCTAGAGTATAGATATTTATATTATTATTATCGATACCGTCTATACCGGCCGTAGAATCCTTATAGAAGAGGCGCTAGCTAAAAAGACTCTATAGCTAATTAGTTAAAATAAAATCTCTAGAGAATTAGGAATTATAAGGAGGGAGTAGAGTAAGACTATTCTATACGCGATTAGTATAAAAAGTATAGGTAGAAATATCTAACGTACGAAAATTTATATTTAGCTTATAAGCTCTAACTAAGTATCGGTCGAGATAATAGCCTTATATAGAGTAAGTATAGTAGTAGAGTTTTTAGCCTCGCGGCCCTTAGTAGCTCCTTCTTTACTCTTTTACTTCTAGGCGGGGATATACTAAGTTATAAGGCGGTTAAACCGCTTATAGTAGTATACTAGCTAGTCGTCGAGGGGCTCTTCGTCTAAAATAAATTAATAAGAAGATAAATATATAAGTAGTACGCGTATATATACTAGTCTAGATACGTTTAGTAGTCTCTAATAAGATATTAGCGTATTTATTTAACTTAGCTAGTATCTATAAAAAAATATTAGTTAGTAATTCGATAAGTAGTAGACGCGTAGATTATAATATACCTCGATATACTTATAGCGTAAGATAGTATAATAACTATACTTCTATAAAAGAGGCTTATAGTAAGTAAGAATACGCTTGGGGTCGCGGGTATAGCGTATATAGTATAACTAGTAGAGTTACTCTAGATCTTCTATCTTTCTTTTTTTTTAAAAAAAAAAGAAAAGGGAAGATAGTAGGAGGCTACGAGGGTATAGTAAGAATATTACTTATTAAATTAAGGAAGTAGGAGGAGCTAATATAAAGATAAAGCTAGAGAAGAAAATTTTACGATACGAATATTTATTTTATTTAGAGTATATATACTTAGGCTACGCGAAGCCCGATACGCGTTTTACTAAGAATAGAGATTTTAGAAAATCTAGTATTATAATTTTAGAATAGGAATTATAAAATTCTAGGATCTAGTAAGCCGCTATAATATATATATATACTATATAACGCGTCTACCTATATAGCTTATAAACGCGACTCTAAGATAGACCCGCGTTCTTTTTAAAGTCTATATACTATATTCGAGTTACTAGTAAGATACGTACGCGCGGTCTTATAAAAGTATACGGATTACTATAAACTCTATCCTAGGGATAGGATATATAAAGAGGGGGATAGTTATAAGGACTAGCTTAACCGTACTATAAGGAACGCCTATATATAGTATATATTACGCTATATATAGGTATAGGAGATACTTATAATTCTCTACTAGGAGAATTATCTCTCTTTAGCTATTAGTCTTACTATAATACTATCTTTTACTATATTTACCTTTTACCTATTATTATATTAGTACTTTACTATTTCGCTACTTCTTCTAAATATATAAGATATTAGCGAACTACGGGTAACTCTCTTTTATAATAGTAGTATTTTCCTAGAATCTCTTAATAACCTTACTAGTTTTAGTTACTATCTTTTACTCTCGGTAGTCCGGAAGATACTATATATTATATATTTTTTAGCTATACTAAATATAGCTAATAACCTATCGAGATCTATTACTAGCTTTACTTAATATAACTATAGTAAAGCCTTAAGAAAAGGTAAAATCTTATAGATAATCTATACCGTACTTAAAGGATAGTACTATAATTTAAGGGCGCTTACTAATACGTAGTAGTAGATAAAGATAGTATATAGGTATTACTTTCTATCGCTTTTTAACTATCGGGATTAGGTATTTAGTAAGATAAGAATAGAGTTTAAAGATAGATCTTTCGAGATAGCGATTCTCGAGTATAATAAAGTCGTTAATTATCTTAGTTTTAATAGATTTAGTAGCGTTAATTTTAAGAGATTTAGTACGGTTTAGTAGCTATAATTAAGTATTATTTAAAAGATATAAATCTTATAGCGGTTTAGAAGGGCCCGCCTTAGATCTAACTACTACGGACTCTCTTATAGTATTATATAGCTATAGCTATATAATATCTAGTAATAAGGAATCTAGATTAATAATACTTATATTAGGGGTAATTAGGTTAATTAGAGCCTCTACGGTACCCTAGCTATAGCTATACTAGAGATTACGGTATAAATAGTAGTTTAGTATAGTAATTAAGGTAAGATTAAGTAATTATAATAATAAAAAACTTCGTATATAGGCCTAATTAGGAAGTAGTAATAGTAGTAGGTTTATAGTTAATACTACGTATATAAACCGTTAGGAAGAATCTTCATTACGCTAATAAAATTAGTGTAGCACAGTAACTGCGCCACGGTTATCTCCTAACCCCGCATACACGGAACATCCGAGTTTGTATGGCGAGTTTGTACTGTCCGAAGACAATCCGCGCACGAGCTGTGATTAATCTCTGCGAACGCGACGACGACCACTGCATCTACCAATGAATGATGCTGCCACAGATGATCATATGCAAGAAGTTGACGGATCAGACTCGTGGAGAAGAAGCAGATTGTAATCAATTGTCCGACTCTCACGATTACTCATTTCGGTTTCAGGTCGAGTTCAAACAAACCCCGATCCCGCCTGTAAAAGGCTACTTACTAAAGTAGTCAACGAAATTTAGGCAACCGAATTTTTGGACCAATGCTTCGGTCTCTCCATCTCTCCGAGCCGAAAAGAGGGCATGTTCTATCTCCTTCTGAGCCGGTCTTCAGATTTTGTGTATGCCGCCATTATGGGGGCACACCGCATGGCCAATGCTTGTTGCAAACAAATCCTTGGAAATGTAGCGCCGGTCTGTACTATACATACTCTGTAGCCTACCTCTATTTCCTTTTCAAATTCCAACTCTCTTAGCTAGAGCCATCGATCCTGGTCTTCACTGTCCGAACTCGGATGACTATAATCAAGCAGTTTGAGGTAGGACTGCACTTCCTTTACCCCTCGTGTGATCCGCACACATCAACGATCGAAAGATTGCAGCCTCTAGAACGTGGATGTTTTGAGACAACGGGAAAATTTGAGACCCAAATTGCCTCTATGGCTCAGTGGTAGAGCATCTCACTTGTAATGAGAAGGTCCGTCGTTCGATCCGGCGTGGAGGCTTGCAAAGTGTTCTTGTTTTTGCTCTCTAACCTTATTTTTTCGCTGCCTATGCTCGAACGTGCCGCTCGTCTACCTGCGCGTTAAGTCTTGGTCATTACTAGTGGATGGTTCTCGAGTCCTACTTCATCAATACTGATGTGCTCGAGGCCCTTGAATGCTGGCTTGAGAAACGAGGTCTCTATGAGAATAGATGGAATCGCGATTTCATATTAATACTTAAGCGTCCCGCACAAAGCACTTAATCTCAGCTTTTTGTGCAAGATATATTTGCTATTAGCCTGGCTATCTGTGAACCGTTGTTCAAAATCCTTCCGCCTTGCTGGTTTTCCAAGTCCCGGCAGATTTGATCTTCCGCAGGACCTCATCTTCCGTGATCTGCTAGCAAGATCTAGGATTTGATACATGGAAGGCGGCCGATCGATGCTCGATATCCCTGTTCGCAGCCCTCAAGTTTGCTGTCCTACTCGGGGCTATCTCCACTTCACAATCAAGAATGTTCTTTCAGTGCAGTAACAAACTGAATAATCAACCTTTGATATCCCGTTCTCTTACCCAGCCAGAACAAAGATGTCCCAAGCAACAAACTCACCCCTCAGGCAAGTCCTCGCCAAGATCGCCAACACAAGCCTGACCATACACGATGTAATTGCGCTACCAGTTGAATGTCGACGTAAGGTTGAAGGACATAGCGGAACCATACCGTAAGATTTGCCTGCTGTTACTCCTCGCACTGTCGAAGCATTGCTACGACTCGGCGAAGCTCGTTTATTGTTGCCCTGACTCATCTCCGGGATCGACCCATGGACCTCCCGCGATCCTGGCAAGCTCTTCCTTGGTTGTCTTGTCCAGTACCTTGACGCGTGGGGACACCCAGTCTGGATATTTCTCTTTTGTCAAGCCAATGTCATTGATCAAGCCATCGACCCACCTCCTATTTGTACTCCAAGCAACTCTGTCTTGGGAGGCCACTGTATCCAGTGCCTTCAAAGCTGACATCTGCATTATCGTCTCCATGTGGAAGTGCCAAAACAAAGCTGCGTCGTAGACATGTACCACCATTGTCTGGATTTTTTCTCGGACGTCAGGCTTCAAATACTGTAGGACTCGGTCGATGCAGTCTATTGTATCTTGTTCGAAGTGGACGTATGTATAGTTGGGCGAGGTTTCTGTCTTGAAAGCGGGCGTGTAGACCTTGAGGGCCTCGAATCGTGCCTCATGGCATGTATGCAGAAGAGCTGGTACGGGGGTTCTAGAGGTGTATGCTTCCTTGTACTGTCTTGTGCCCTCGATCTTATCTCTTTTGCAGGCTATCAAGACCGTTCTTGGTGTTGTCAGAGCATATTTGTATATCTTGATTCGAAGCTCGGAAGGGAGTTCAGGAAAGGGATGGAAAGTGAGGCATGAGGACATTTTGAAGGTGATCGGTTCGATGTTATGTCGTTTGAATTTGTTTCTTTTGTATGTCCAGACTCCTGTGTTGTCTGAAGGTAAGCAAACAAATATATTAGATACCACTGATCGACCTTCTGGATTATGTAAGGTAAGCAAGACTGTCGGGTCTGTGCGTCACAGTGTGGGGACGTATTGCGAGTAAACACACGCATTATGACTCAGTTTTTCCAGGGAATCCCAGATATCCATGGCGAGTATGAAGTTGCCGTCATGAGATTCCGAGGAACGCTCCGCCATTGCAAAGTCTGTAGATTTTTCGGAGACCATGACAGCGGTTAACAATTGAACGAGTCCAGCTACCAAGACCAAACTCGCACCCATTCACAACTCCGCCAAGATCCCGCTTGGCTTCAGATCTCCGGTCCCGAAACTTCCACGTTCTCCCCGTCAACCATTAGATTGACTCGAAGAATTGACTTCTCTCATGCACTGGCCGGCATGATGTTCCATATTATAGCCCCAATATGGAAAGTATCTGGGGCGACCCATGGGCCGACAATGCCAGACCAAATCTTCCCAAGCCGAAGCAGAACGATCCTGTTGAGGTGACGACTTATGAACCCCAGAAACCTCTCACGAGCTTGTTCTCTGGCGATCTCGAGGACGAAGCTGGATGGGGAGACTTTGAGGAAAGCACTAGTCTACCTACGGATGCCGCGGAAGAAAGTGGGAATCAAGAGATCGGACGCAGCACTGGTCAGGGACATGAGTACGAGAAGGGCTTCACGAATGAACTGACACCGGAGATTCCCAGCGGCCTCACGAGTACATCAAGCATACTGTCGCCAGGTTGGGGCGATGCTCACGCACTCCAATCAACTCCAGACCCTCTTCTGGACGACGAGCAGAATGGCGACAATTTCGAGAACCCACCTTCTCCTACACGAGGGAGTCCCCATTCGAGTCTATCCTCAATCACATATGCTCCTGGAGATATAGCAAGACATGATACAGATTTGGGACCACTGGACGCGAATTATGTTCAGTCGACTCTTCCTGCATCTCCTCCAAGACCTAGTACAAGCAGCACAACCAAGACTGCCGTGAGCACAGATAGCAATACATTGTCAGACGTTCCGGCATCCCTTGTCCACCTCGACCATCCAAGATGGAGCAGCAAGCCGCCACAATCTAGACCTAGCGACGAGTCCAGCAGGAGCCTGGACTCGACACAAACATCCTCTGATGAAGCCGACCTCTCTTCAAAACGGGTTGAAGAGTCAGCATTATACACAGGAAAGGTCGAAGAGAAGGCGAACATCGATGCTGGTAGTTTGCGAAAACTCGTCCATGCAGAGGAAGAGCATGAATTGGCAGAAGAAGAGAAGCCTTGCGATAGGGAGGACTCCGACGAATTGCAGACGGAGATCAGGGGACCGCGGTTTCACACGGACTCGAACCTTGTAAGCAGAATTTGTACAGCTGCGGTATTTTCCGAGAACTTTGAAGAACCAAACGACGAAGTCATCAAATTGACATCTACACGAAAAGCGTGGTATCGCCTTACACGACCGCAAACAATGCGCGAGTACAATACCGGCGCTTCCGCCGACAATTATGTGCGGGTGTCTTGGCCCAGGTCTCACATACGAACCGAAACGCTGAAGATTGCGAGTCGTTGGGCATCCGAGGATAAAATCTATGGACGTATGGTCTTTGGTGGTAAACCAGGGGCAGCTACTTTTGGGTGGGACTTACCCAGGGACGGCTCAACAGCACCACCACGACCGATGAGCATGGTACACCCATTATCACACAGTAAAGGGACTGCAAACCATCATGAGGCTCACCAGCGAAAATCTTCGATGCCGCTTCCATCAAGTCGCATCAAATCTAGCCCAGTGGCGCAATTCGGATGGAGCACTTCGCCGACCAGTAGCGGAAATGATGCTGTTGCGAGTCTTGGAGATGTGCTGGACTCTCCTGTGTTGATCAATGCTTCTGAGCCACGGCCGCGGAATGAAGATCAGCAACAAGCTGCGCGCGCTACTATTCCAAGGATGGCACAGCCTTCCCTGCCTGGTGCCAAAGCACTCGAAGGCGCAAAGGAGGTTCCGCCATCTGGACTACAGCTCGAAAACCGGCAAGTCATAGACGAGCCAGTACTGGGCAGACTGAGTACCACCGAGCTTACCCTCAATATCAGTACAGGAGACGATGACGATGACTGGGGCGGGATGGTCAAATCGCCGTCAGAGCCGTCGTCTACTATAGTAACGCCATATTTGTCTGCGAGTGTGGTAGAGCCTGATTGTCCACTTACCGAAGGACATATTCCCATCAATTCCACTCGCAGAAGACCTACGCCTATAATAGCTCCACCTGCCGCTCACGGTTCTCCCGACAGTGTCCTAAGTCCAGCTCGTAAGGCGGCATTTGATGCTGCTAGGACTACTCGATTTTTCAATTCTCAGCCAGTACGAAACGAGAATGCTACTAATGTAGCCAACGATTCTGGCTCCGCGATTCACGGACCACAGCGGCTGTCTCCTTCGCCACCGCCATGGTCATCGCCAACGAGAGTTTCTTCTAGCGTACCGAGGTCATCCTCACCTGGTGGGTCGATCAGGTCAGCTACAGGGGTTGCCTGTTTTGACTCACCCTCCTTCTTGGAGGCAGATGTGTCCTTCTTTGACACTCCAAATCAATCACAACACTCTCCAGCTTCAGCCAGAGTCGACAACACATCTGTACAGCTTTCCGCCACAGAGGAAGAATATGCACAACAAATTGTGCGGCATCTCTCAGACCTTTCCTTCATGCTTAGATAGTGTACATAAGAGAAACCGTGCAGCCTGGCGTAAGGAGTTGGAGACCGACGGATATCACCGTCTCATCGTTCTTGTTCTTATTAGCAGGATGGCAAAGAAACGATGTATTTTACTAGTATCTTTTAATTTTGAAGCACCTGTCATATCTGTGTAAGTCGAAATGTTGCTACCCAAACTCTCAAAACTTTATGGAAATGCATGCTTCCGCAAAAGCAAACACTATGATCTGGATCGCTCGACAGCTTGGCTGATACGTGAACAGCTGAAGCTCTAATCCCTCTTTTCCGGAACCACTGGTATGTGTTTCCATGCTTTCCTGCCGAGGGTACTGAATCAAGCTCTTACTAAGCAAGAGGGGGCATAGAACCAGACGACGAAAGAAATCAACTTGATCGACAACAAGTCCTTGACGATACGGGTTGTGGCTAATGGTTTTGCCCACCTTGACGCGTCGCTGCCCATAATTAACCAGGGTGTGAGTCTATCCGGGCCAGACCCACCGCGGGTACTTGAACTTGCATAATCCTTCATGCGTAAGCTTTATAGCGCCTGGCTTGGCAAAGCTTGATCAATCAGAGCCTCTCGAGGCTGTCCACTAACTCAAGCTAGACGTCAAGTCCAGTTTACTTGGGAACCTGACGCGTCAAGAAGTTGGTCATAGACTCCGCTATCACAGGTGCCCCTCCAAAAAAGCGCGCAGACTGTCATCGATGTCCGAATTCGCTCGTTAGAGAATGGTGAGGTATTAAAGTCACAGAAGTCTGCTGCTCTAGATAC